GGGTGTGAGGGCACCAGGTAGGGCACAGGGCGTGCCGGTGTCTTGGGGGGTGATGGTCGAGGCCCGGGTGGCGGTCAGGAAATGGGCCCGAAGGAGAGTCTTGCACAGCTGGGGGCACGGTGTGTTTCGTGCTGGGGCTGGGAGGTGGCACTGAGGGACGGGGTCAGGCAGCCCTGATGCCTTTTTGTGCTTGGAAAGGGGAATTGCAGCTTTTTTGCGTTAATCTTTAATAAAAGGTGTTTCATCAGTATTTGCACTAGCGAGCAATTTCTTCCCATCAGAACTTTCTGTATAATGAACCTGTACAGGGAGCTCCAAATCCCTATTGTTAAAAATGAGAGCAGCGTAAAAGTAAAGTGGAGCATCTTGCTCAGTGTTGTCACAAAGAGCAAAGGTAGGTGCAACAACAAACAGCAGTTGCAGAGGTGTAGTTGTCAGCATAAGGGGCAGAAGTTCCCTCAATTGATATGACTGAGAAGCAGTTCCTGGGTACTTTTTCCCTGAATTGTTCTTTTCTCTCTCTTCCGTTTTGACTAATACTGTTTGGATGCAACAGAACATGATTTTAAACTTGCTTTCAACCTCCTCCAGGATTATTGAGCTGTGTCATCAGTTCCCTCATGGTATCACAGACCAGGTGATTCAGAACGATATGCCTCACATGGAAGCCCAGCAGCGAGCCATGGCGATCAACAGGCTGCTCTCGATGGTAGGGTGATCTCATCTTCCTCGCGTTACTTCAGCCCACCCAGAGCACTCTTCGTACACGCATGCACGGTAGCAACCTGTTGGACAGGGCTAGGAAATGAATCCCTTTGGATTTAGTGGCATTTGCCATAACATACAGTTCCAATCTGTTACTTCTGGTTGCCATAAGCACTTACGCTGGTCAAAGCCAATTAAAACATACCTCAGCTTACTCTTCCCATTCTGTAATGCAAAGTTGATGTGGATGTGTATATCCTTGCGCGTTTCCAGGTGAGGAAGCTACCACTGAGTAGCACCACATTTGGTTTCTGACGTGTTTGAAGTTCTCTGGTGGTCTTTTCCCTGTGTATTTCTTTACAAAGCTGAATGTGACACAATGGTCTAATGTAACAGTCGGGTGCAAGTGTAGGTGCAGTGGTTCAGGGGGTGGTCAGACAGACACGAGGCTCTTAACGATGGGGAATGAATTAGCCAGAGATAAAAGAATGGAGGTTATCCCATGCTCTCAGATGTGAAAGTCGTCTTCGAACCCCCCCCAAAATCCCAAGGTTGTGGATTACTCTGATAATAAGCAGGTGAAACATCCTACACCTCACTGGGCATTTTCCTTTACTGTGTCAGGAGTCAGCCTAGGACAGGAGTGAGGATTGTCAACTACCGTCAACTGTCTGCTACTGTCAACTACTTCTGCCGCGTGTTCAGGAACAGTAGCTGTTCAGCCTTGTTGGTTCAGTGTGGGTGTAAACTTGAGTATTGGCTAAATGTTCAATGTCTTTAAAGATCAAGATTCCTTTCAGTTCCTCAGCTAGCTGCTTCACGGGCATGTGAGGTCAGGAGATAAAATGAAGTGGTGCAGTGAAAGGAGCACTGTTGAACAGAGGGGCTTTATCAGAAAGAGCAGTGTTAGAAGATAATTCAGACTCAGCCAGGTGCGGTGTTTTGGGGTCGTTTGATAACAGGAGCTTCTTAGCCTGGGCCATGCGAGGTGGCACTGGGTTTATTAGTACATTGGATGTGAGGTTGTGTGTTCAATAGCTTTTCAATGAGTTGGCCTGATTTCACAACGAGGCTTCAAAGGTAGTTAAATCTCTAGAACTTGTTTAAAAAATTCCTTTGGGTGTGTGGGGAGATCTAGTGTGTACCCCAAACATGGGGAAAAACTGCAGTGGGAGTTCAGCTGTAGTAAGCATCAAGTACTGCACTTGAGATAAGCTGCAAGTACTTCACCTGTAGAAAAGCACTGAAGTAGATCATCTTGAGGTATGCTTCCATCAACCATGTAGTGCAGATCCATAAGAACCAAGCCTGTAACCATGGGGAAAGGATGAGCAGGGAATGAAAGAGCAGGTGTTAGTTAATGCTGTTACGCACAGTTATGCTCTTGGGCTCATCTAATTACTTGCGTCTTCAAGACAGGAAATAAGAATTTGCCTGGCTTAGATGCAAGTGTCGGGGGCAGGATGAAAGTTTTGTGTGTGTGAGATGCTGGTAATTTGCCTCCGAGAAGCACTGTTGATCCTGGGTGGTGGTTTTCCAATGATCTCTACTTCGTATAAAATAGACCTTTGCTACTGGAACTCAGAATGGTTGAAAACTTGTGCAGTAGAGCTTCCACGTGGTTTCTGGGTAGCCATGAAAATGAGTGTTTTGGTGGGAAGGGAGAGCAAAGTTTACAGGAATCTGATGTGCCTCGTATAAGGATGAAAATTAGGAAGAACAATAGCCAGGGCATAGGTGTTGTGGGGAGGGTTGGGAACTGTATTTGTTATTTCTGATAGCTGATAAGTGGATAAGTAGGGGAAAAAAATACCCTTAAGGGTCTTACTGTGCTCATAGGGAAAAACTGTCCTCAAGGGTATCATCATTCCCAGTGGTTAAAAATGTTAGCTTCCCCTGTTCTTTATTCAGTTGGCAGGAAATAAGGTTTTTGTTTCAGAAGTTTAAGAGATTCTTGCCATGTTCTGAAACAAGCTATTCAAAGGGAAGTAAATGCATTGTGTCTGTCTCTCCTAGGGGCAACTGGACCTTCTCAGGAGCAACGCAGGTCTCCTGTATAGAATCAAAGAGTCTCAAAATGCAAGGTAAGCCTCGTGTTTGCTGGATAAATATATTTGGAATGCAGTCCTGCAACTCACGTGCAGCATTGCTGAGAACATAGCACTGTAATATGGACTGTGTAACACGGGTGTTACAGAAGATATCTGAACACCACTGGGAAGCTGGTTTAGGTGTAGTGGTCTCTGCTGATCAGGGGGTGCCTTGGGACCATGGCTCTAACTCACCAGCAGCGTTCCTGGTCCGGATGACAGCAAACATGTGTATGCTCAGGTGGAATCCAGCTCAAGCCCAACCATACCATCTGCAAACCGTGGTTCTGTGGTCTTCCTTGCTGCTCGTGTTAGAGGATCGGCGCTCATGTTGACAGCTGTTCCAGGAGTGGCTTGAACTCCCGCTCGTGTTCTTTGATTTATTAAAATCTACTTTCAAACCGTGTCTTGTGATGCCTATGTAGATCTGAGTAAAAGATGCCTTAGACACTCTTCTGGGAAGAAACAGCCTTCAAAATTATCCTCAGTGCAGGCAGGTCATCCTCTTTTTCAAACGTTTTAGAAAAAGATTGCTGAGCCCAGGCTGTCTCAGACCAATGAAAAGGCATGTTTTGGAGTTGGGAGCATGCTATCATCCCTTTGTAGACGTTCTGTCTAGAGACAGATTATCCTGAGTTATGCTCCATGTTGTGTTTGACCTTCAATGGTTCTGTTAATCCGTGACTCCGAATTCCCCATTGTTATGACAAGTTGAGTCACTCCTGCTTAGTCACTTTTCTTTCATACTGTGCTCTTTTCTCTTTACTGTGGCTTCTCACTGGCAAGTCTGGCTTGATGCAGAGAGGTTTGCTGTCATGTGTGATATTTGCCAATGGCTGGCTTATTGTGTGGGGTGGTTTTTACCTTTGTGCATTGGGTTGGGTTTTTTTTTAATAGTGCTTGTTTTCAGTTCAAAACAAATCCATCTTCTTTCAAAATTTGGACCTTTCAAAAATCTTGATGTCTGTCTTATTTTACAGTAAAATGAAAGGCTCTGACAATCAAGAGAAGCTGGTTTACCAAATTATAGAAGATGCGGGCAACAAAGGTAGTTTCAATCAATCATAATTGTGAATGGTACTAACTCTGTTTACTTAGCGAACCGTTCCTCTCAAAACTTTTAAATGCTTGTCCAGACAGCAGCAATATAAAATCTAGATTCCCCATACTGGGTCTGTAGCTAATGTTCTGTATGGCCACTTTTTTTTTTTTGTTTGTTTTTAAAAAAAGGTGTTTTATTTCTCGCTAAAGAACAACCTGTCCTGGCTGACTTTTGGGAGGGGCTCTTTCAGAATATTTGGAACATGAGTTGTGATTTGTCTATGGGATTGGCAAGCTGCAGAATCTGTAGAACACTCACCACTTAAAAGAAAACGTGATATTCAGATTTAGTGGGTGTACTGCCAACAGAAACCACTGCTGATAACTAGGCTTTCTCAGCAGTCTTTGCACAGGGTGGTTGAGAGATGGCAGGTAGAACTGGATGTCAGATTTTTGTTGAAGCAAAGCTAGTTGCCTAAAAAAGCAAAAACGTTTCCATGATGTATTCATGTTGGCAGTGAGATGGAGCCCACTTGTAAGAGCACTGCTCAGAGGAGAGGTAACAGGCAGAAGGACGGTGTGGTGGCTGTATGTATTTCTTGTTTGGCCAGTTGGGATTGGTTTTGTTTCATCCCCTTCTGTCCCTTCCCTCCCTTTTGCCGGGAGTGGTAGGATCGAGGATACATCCTACGGTTGGCAAGCGAGTCAAGCAATGCTGTGATGCGACTTCTGGTGTTTGAGTACCTACAGAAACAAATGGTTTCTTCTGTTAATTTCCACTTGCTTCTCTGTTTTAAACCAGGTATTTGGAGCAGGGACATTAGATACAAAAGTAATTTGCCTTTAACCGAGATCAACAAGATACTGAAAAACTTGGAAAGCAAGAAGCTAATTAAAGCAGTTAAATCTGTGGCAGTGAGTATTGTATGACTTTTTTAAACCATTTCAAACGTTTGCTGCATGCTGTGTATGTTGGAACAGACAGAGAGTAGAGAAGCCTCGTTCTGCCTCCAGCTTTCTCACTGACTGCGCACCAGCATTTGACTCTGCCTTTAGTGTGCAGGTTTGAGGCGCAACAGATACAGAAGGCCACAGTGTTTATTAAGTAATGAACACAGATTATCAATCAGTTTGTTAATGTTAATTAATGAACACTACTACTAATCTACAGTTCTATCGCTTTTCCCACTGCTACTAGTTGCAATTTGATAGTAATGGTGTGTAGTTTTAGCTGTCTTAATCCTTTATTGCACACAGCTGTTGTTATAGTTGTTTTAGCCTTCACAAACCTCCTGTGCTGCTTGCTATGAATGGGCAGTTCTGTCACCATTTCCCCGGAGCTGCCATACTCAGTCTTTGGGACATAAACCTAGGGAAGAGTCTGGGTTTCCGTCCAGCATAGCGATGGGCTTGGGCGCACAGGTCAGCTTCTCTGCTGCCTGTAGGCATCCGCGCTCCTGCTGTCTGCAGATCCTGCCTTCTCTTGCTCTCAGATTTTTATACCTTATTCCCTTCTTTTTGTTTCTTAACTCTCTCTTCTACCACCCTTTTTTCCTTTCTTTACTCAGTCTCCACCCAAATAAGCTTCCTGCCCATAACTGCTTTTTCTCCATCAGTCCCAATGTTGCTGTACCACAATTAGTTATTTCTGATACTGAAGCACCTGGGGCTTTCATATGGGACTAGTGATGTGGTTACCTCGTGGCAAGTGGCCTCGCAAGGTTCCTCTCCCGCAGAGATCCTGAGGCTCCCTTCAGTTACCTGGTTCATACTGGATTTGTAGTGTTTACTTTAAACAATTTCTGAGACATTTGATTCTGTTTTAGTCTTGGTTCCTCTACTTTGTCCCAGTTACCTGAGTACTTCTCCTATGTGCAGACAGTCCAGGTACCAGAGTAGGGCTTTTCCTTTTCCATGCGTTTTCTCAATCTACTGTAATGCTCGTGCAGCATCCTGCTGTCCCATACCTGCTTAATTACGAAGCATTGGTATTAGCCTGTTCTTTGGATGTTCTCCTGGTTTCCAGCGCAGAGGTTCTGTCTTGTTGCAGGGCCTGCTACACCAGGAAGACCACTTTTGGAAGTCTTATGTTGTGTCCTTTTTCTTTGTGCCAGTCTCATCTGCATCATGGAGGCAATACTTGGCTTGTGTGTGTGCCTTTTTGGGGTGGCGGCAGAGTGAGGGGTAAGGGTAACTTCTTCAATAAAATGAAGATAAGGAAGTTGGACTTAGAAAAGCAGTAGCTTTTCCGTGTTCTTGTGAGAGATGCTGGCTTCATGTAGCCCTAGAGGGGACGTAATGCTGCTAAAATTGCTTCAGTGGTCGTCGAGTTGTCCTTGGGACTGATGCTGTCCTTTAACTGCCTGACTACGACTGTCCAGACTGGAGCAGCGTTCCCATTCACCCTGCCTAGGCGTGGCAGTAAGGAGTGGACTCGCAAGACCTAGCTTTAGCTGCAGAGTTTCATCACATAAGGTGCCCCCTACCCCTGCATGGGTTGTCTCTTGCAGAAACAGCTGTAAGCCTCTGCTACATTTGTCTTTGCTGTCTTCTTCTTCTAAAGGCACTTTCCTGCCTTCCTCTGACTGCAGGGGGATCTGAGTCAGTAGGCTAAAACTGAACCGAGATCCTCTTCAGTGAGGTTTGTATGCGCGCACATTGTTAGGAGGATTGTTGCTTCTAACACCACGTTGCAAAATTATTAGGAGTCTGAAGGTATTGCTTTTCTCTTTATCTCCATCTTACCTGTGGGTCAGACGTGTTCGTGATAGCTTGAGTCGGCTGGATTGCTGTGCCCAGGTTTGGGGAGCAATGAACTACCTCTTTTGCAGATACCCGCTTGAACCTTCCTTTCTTATGGAAGACTTCCAGCTGTTAAGAGCTGTACCTTTTTCTTTAACAGGCATCCAAGAAGAAGGTGTATATGCTGTATAACCTGCAGCCAGACCGGTCAGTGACTGGCGGGGCGTGGTACAGTGACCAAGACTTTGAGTCTGAGTTTGTGGAGGTGTTAAATCAACAGTGTTTTAAATTTCTGCAGAGTAAGGTGAGTGCTGCTCTAGAATTCACCTTCCAGTTGACTCCTGCAAGTAATCCTTTTCTTTAGAAAAACTAGCGATAGGCAAGGCTTATGTTTTCCATGGTGGTTTCCGTAAGTGTTGGCTGTTGTTATAACCGGATCAGCAATCCTGTACTGGATTGTATTTGTCACAGTGACTGTGATGTTAACAATGCATATTTTCACACCCTATGCGGGGAGTGAAGCCTTCCGTCGCCAAGGTCTGGTGACAAGTTAGGCAGCAAAGAACACAGGACCAAAAAACCTAGCAGAAGTCACTTGTTTTGCCAGCAGAGCTCCTAATGGCTGTGAGGGTGCAAGGCAGTAGTCGGTCAGCCCAGCCTAGAAGACACTTCTCTCTAGTGTAACCATATGAGAAGCCTGCTCACCGTTAAAAAAGTCCTATGCAGATTGCAGCACTTCTCTGTTCTATTAAAATGTATTTTGACTGGCACTTGGCACAGCAGAAACATCTTCTGTGTCAAAAAAAAATGCCAGATGCTGATACTTCTTCATGTTACTCTTAAATCACTGTGTAAGTTTTATGCGATATTTAGTGTAAAATTATGTTTGGTTGTGCACCACATTGCCTCACGTGCATCAGTCTTAAGGATGCAGTTTTGAATGCTAAATAAAAAACATGTCCCAGGAATTGTTTGGAAATCAACTTTTATAGCTGCAGGCAGACTGAAACTGAACCAGAGAGTACTGACTGTAACTCATCTTTGCTTTTTCTCAGGCAGAAGCAGCCCGAGAGAGCAAACAGAACCCCATGATACAGAGGAACAGCTCATTTGCCTCATCCCATGAGGTGTGGAAATACATCTGTGAGCTGGGTATCAGTAAGGTCAGCATAGATTCGTCTCCCTACTCTCAAAATTCTCAGTGCATGACTAGCTGCAGGACTTGGGTCCTGCACATTTGGTGAGGGTCCAGTAAGTGCTTCCGTAACCTACAGTTACTGTGTTGGAAGTGGGCTTTGCTGCTTTATTGTTTTTTTGTGGAGGGTCATTGGTGCTGCATGGGATTCCAGGGTAGTTTGTACATGTGGGTTTTCAAAGATGTATAAAAGGTGCCTTCACATCCTTGTTGATGGAAATTGGGGTACGTTTTCCTTTAACAATCTCAACCGGTTTATATTTCATAATTTCTTTCACTTTGCCTATCCTCTTCAAGCAGTTTTAGCAGAGGGTAAAAACCCTGCAGTTATTGGTCAAAAATCAATTGGTTAATGCCTGTCATCAGCAGGTATATTTCAGTAGTCTGTCGTCTTTGACGATGGCTTCCCTGTAAAATTGGAAATGTGCCGTGCTCGGATGATGTAGGCGCTTGTGGTGCATAGGGAAGTGCTTTTTGATATGCCAAGGCTGGTGTAATCCAGAAGTGCTTGGGAGGTAGGAGGTAGTGGTGTTTGCTTTTCTTTGTGTATCTGCACAACCCCATTAAGTGCCCAGGTAGAGAGGTGCCTTTATCTGGGCTGGGTTAGAACTCTAAGGGTTTGTTACTCATGCTGTTTGCTCACTTCCTCCTTATTGGCATGCATCTTTCCTAATATTTGTTTTACAAATTGTTTCTTAGGTAGAGTTGTCAATGGAAGACATTGAAACCATTTTAAATACGCTAATCTATGATGGAAAAGTGGAGATGACTATTATTGCTGCAAAGGAAGGGACGGTGGGCAGTGTGGATGGACAGATGAAGTTGTACAGAGCCGTCAGTCCTCTCATACAGCCCACAGGATTAGTCAGGACACCCTGTGGACTCTGCCCTGTAAGTAACTCATTCTGTACGTGAACGGGCATGTGCATGCCCAATTTGAATCCGTCCCTGCAAACGGCCAGCCAGCACGTTGCCAAGTTATGCCTGTGCGTGATCCTCCTGGCTTTCGAAGCCATCTACGGTTACGAGTGTTACCCATGATACTTTAACTATGGTGCAAGAGGCAGGTTCTTTAGTTTAGACCAGGATGTTTCCCACTTACATATTTTCTGATCCAAGTTTGCTTATTTATGTTTTTTAACAAGCTAACTTATTTCCATCTAGCTTTTGGTCTCTGCTGGTTGGATTGTAAACTGATAGGTGGGTAAAACATGCCAGAGTGTGCACGTTTGCATCCTTTACTGCAGTGGGGTCCGTTTCACCTTGTGGTGCACACATTACTCTTCCTCAGAGCTGGTGTCGTGGTTTAACTCCG